TGGGCTTCATTCTTTGGACTATTTGATTTGGAAATTTCCCAATTGGGCTCATTCCTTGGGCTATTCGATTTGGGTTGTACTTTTAGTGTGTCAACAATTACCCCCCAATATGGCAGAATTAATACAAATTATTAATTTTTGCCATATTTACTTTGTGTTTCCCAACAACATTTGAAATTCCCAAGAATTTCAATCATTATTTCCTTCCATAACCTGAAAAAGTGCGACGCTACAAACCCTTATAAACCCCAAAGACATGTCATTTTGTTGTACCACTAAATCACGTCTCATTATTTCACGCTTCTTTCTCGCCATACCACTGTTCATCTTCTTGCTTCTCCACTACGTTTCTCAAGCAAATTTTAGCAAAACTGTATTTCATTCCCAATGGCTGCCCCACAAACCCAATCTGACGACTCTTTTAGCTTCGAAGATTTCCAGAAAATCCTCACTCGGCCATATGTAAATCCGAACTTCCTTGCACCAGCCGATGCCGAACTTAATGAGTTCTATCTGGGCCCTTCATTCAACAACGCCGAAGCCGTCGAACAAGTGGTGGTGGGCCAGCTGTTCCCTTGTACTCAAGGCCCTCCATTCCTGAACTCTTTGCTGCTGAGGCCAATTCGCGAAAAAAGTATTCGTACTTGGCCTAAATCTGGTGTTGTTTTCTATAGATGGCATGCTCGCTTTGTGGGCCATGGTCCTAACAAGGCAATTTTTGATCGTACTAGGATTTCTGATTTATTAGAAATCTCTCTTCAACCCCCAATTTTTGACCCAGCACTTTTTCCTATTGCTTTAAGTTTTTGGTCTTCTAAATATAATACTTTTGTTTTCCCTCTTGGTTCCATGTCTATTACTTTAAGGGATGTTAGGGCCCTGATAAATCTTCCACCTTTGGGCGACACCATTTTCCCTGGTATTTTGATTGCCGGTGTTGCCCCAAAATTTGACAAAAAACTCACCGAGTCCTATTCAAGCCTGCAAGACTGTTATAATCACTCAAATGCTGAGCTTTCCCATGCTGAACGCGTGACATTTCTTCATATTTGACTTTGTAAATATATTCTGTGTGTGCTCAGTATGAAGCCTTCTATGAGCTATTTACTCATAGCGCATGAATTGACGCGTGGTATGCTTTTGAATTTGTGTTCCTTCTTTTTGGCTGCCCTTGATTCATTTCAGAGCATCTTACTATGCATTTTATTCATGTTTTTCATACGGTATCACATTATGCAAAGATTTGGTTTTAACTAAAAATTCAGATTTTTAATAGATTTTGATAAAAGTCGATAAATTCATGATTGAAAAGTTGATTAAAGCAGTTGATCGATAAATTAAATTGTTGACTTTGTCAATAGTGTTTAAATTATATGATCTTAAAAAAATTCTTGAAAAAAACTAACTGCGGATAATTTGAGTTAAACTTGGATTAATATATTCAAAAATAAAATTACAACATAATTATAATATAACAAAGCTTATAATTATTATGTGCTTGAAAATCAATGTTGAAAATGCTAAAAAAAATGGACAGCTGATAAATTCGATATTGTAAAGTTTTTTAAGGGTATATTGTTTCTCTCACTTTGCAAAACCTGTTGAAATGATACATCTCGTATTTTTTACTGTCCTTGAAAGTATTTTACCTTTTCAATAGATGTCTTGAGCTGAAATCATCCAGCCTATGTCAAAGTCATTATTTCTTTCTTTCCAAACCTTTTCTGAATTATTATCTTGAAGTAGTGTCTTGACGTGAATTAAATAAAATTGTTAGTAAAATGACACTATGGAAATTTTACAAGCATTATTTTTATATTATTTATTAGAATTTAAAAAAAAGCAAAATCCAAGAGCTAAGCCGTCAGCTTTGAATCCTTTAACTAGATTCAACGACAACTGGTTGTGATTGGGGTGTGGACTTTTAATTCTCTATACATTTTTTTGCGTTATTCTAAGTGAAAAATCATCTTTTTTTTGGGGGGAGGGGGGGATGAAAAAAAAAAAAAAAAAAAAAAAAAAAAAAAAAAAAAAAAATATATATATATATATATATATATTAAAGGCTATTTGTACAATAACCCATTGGATTGGGACTTATCGTACCAATCATGACATTCTTAATCTTATTTCAACCTTTTGATGAGCGCTACAGTTTATTTGACAGTTAAAAATTTATATTTTGATTAAAAAGATTACAATTTACTTAAGTTTCATTCCCCAAAAAAAAAAAAAAAAAACACCCGAAGCGCTACAGTTTATTTGACAGTTAAAAATTTATATTTTGATTAAAAAGATTACAATTTACTTAAGTTTCATTCCCCAAAAAAAAAAAAAAAAAAAAAACCGAAAGTTAGGAAAAGAAAAAATATACAAATATAGAAAAAAAATTTCATAGTGTTTTTTCATTTCCTAACTTTCGGTTTTTTTATTTTTATTTTTATTTTTTTTTAAATTGGAGTTAGAAGTATTGTAGTTTTCTTTAGTCAAAATATTAACTTTTTAATATTCAAATAAACGAAAGCTCAAAAAAAGTTATTTTTGCAGTAAATGGTTGAAATAATATTGAGAATGTCAAGATCGTAATAATAGTTAACTATTTGTAGGACTCCAAACGACAAATATTGTTGTGGAAATTTGCTATTAATTAAACGAATTTCATCAACCAAGAACTAGGACACATCAAAGTGGTACGTTGAGGATGTGTATGCTAAAAGAAGTAGAATGAATACCCATCTGCTACCAAGTATATAGGACTTAAACGAACTTTGCAATTTTTCCATATGATAATTTGGTTGTTCAATTTGACACGGTATACAAAATTTTTAGTTGGTGTGATTGCTTAGGTATAGTCTTGAATTCAAGTTGATGTATTTTATTGGAAGGAGATAGATTATCAAGCTTAGCGAAACAGGCCCTATAGTTCTTGATTTTGTTAAGGTGGTAGTAGTGATGGTGCAGTACTTTTACTATTTCGATCCCCAATTAATAAGGCTATGATGATATTTCTTAATTCTTCCAAGCTCATTGATTGGCTATTGAGATGAATCAACCCGTATCTTAGCGTGATGATGCGATGGTATGTGAGTTTGGATTTTACATTCATATGCAACTGGCGGGGACAAACCTTTCCATCAATCGAACAACAGATCTGAGCCTTCTTTCTTCTGTATAACATTCTAAAGGCTACCAAGTGTATAGGATCAAACTAGTGCTGCAATTTCCTCTATGATAATTTGGTTATTCAATTTTCTTTGAAAGAGATAAATTATCATATATTAAAAGATGTCATTAGAAAAGTTCTGTTATGATGTAACAATTTTTGTTATAATAATATGGCTGTTCAACTTTGACATAAAAAAAAATTTGGTTGGTGTGATTGCTTAGGTATATTCTTGAATTCAAGTTAATGTATTTTATTGGAAGGAGATAAATTATCATATACTAAAAGCTTTCATTTGAAAATTTGTGTGGTATGATGCAAAAACTTTTCTTATAATAATATGGTGTGATTGCTTAGTATTTTCTTTGAAACCTATCAAAATGCTTGTGTGATTGCATAAGTGGGCTGCAATTTCATGTTATTTCAACTGTGTAGAAATCTAAGGTGACTCATGCTGCTTTTATTTTATTTTTTTCCCTCTCAATCAAATTCTGGAACAGATATCAAATCCTCATCTATAAGCTCGAAAAACCTTTCTCAAATACTTCGTCAATCCTCTATTAAAGAGAAATTTAACCACCATTTGTCCTCATTTTTGTTCAAACTCATTTTCAATCAAATATTTCATGGTACCACATTTTTTATTAATTTTTGAACCACAAAATTCATTAAATTTTATCGAACTCTACTAAAAACATGATTTTTAACAAAACCAAACAGAGGCTTATATGCGTAAAATATTGAATAATTCAGCAAAATTGGTTGATAAATTCATTAAATTTCATTTTATTGACAGGATGCATATTTAACAAACATTATTTTTATATTCTTTAGTAAATTTAAAGAAAAGGAAAAATCCAAGAGCCAACGGGATGGATTTGAAATCTTTAACTAAATCAACCACAAATGGGGTTGGTTGGAGTGTGGCATTATATATATATATATATATATATATAGTGTTAAATGACCTTTTTCATCCGCTACGGTTAATTTGATTGTTAAAAGGTCAATAATTTTATTGCAAAGACGACAATATTCTTAATTTTAATTGTTTGGAAAAAACACACACACACACACACACAAAACCAATACCAAAACCAAAAACAAAAACGAAAAACAAAGAAATGGAAAAGAAAAAAAATATACAAAAAACACCATGAAGCCTTTTTCCATTTTTTATTTGCTGTGACCTTTTTTTTAAATCTATTTTTATTCCTTTCCTAGCTTTTTTTTTTTAATTTTAAATAAAGTTAGAATTTTTTTTGTCAAAATATTAGCTTGTAAAATTTTTAATAGTCAAATAAACGAGATCTAACAAAATTAATGATTTCCACAGTAAAAGGCTGAAATGATGTTAAAAGTGTGAGAATTGCAATAATAATTAACATTTTCGTAGGGAACCCAAAAGATAAGTGGTAATGTGGAAATTAGCTGTTAATTAAATGGATGTCATCAACCAGGAAATATGGCGGATTAGGATATATTTTCTAGCAGAGTATAGAATCTGTACTAAAGCTGCAATTTCTCCTATGATAATTTAGTTATTCAGCATATGTTTAATTTTATAAAGACTGGTTTTGTGATAGTGAAGTTTTGGAGAATATTTTGGAGTTAAAAGTTTTGGATTAAAGTGCAAAATAATTTATTGTGAAAATGTGTAATGGATAATGAGTTTGGGAAAAAATGAATTTTGGATAATGAGATTTTTTCTTGAGTACAAGTTGATGTATATTTTCTTGAAAGCGGGGAAATTGTCTGGTATGATGTAACAACTTTTGTTATAATAATGTGGCCGTTCAAATTTGACAAAGAAACTAATAATACTTGCAAGCACATACATAGACACGCCACCCATTCCTTTTTTACTCTCCGCACTCTTCTTCAACCCTTCCTCAACTCAATTCCTCCACCCACCTCACAGAACCACCACCTGTTTAAAGTGGGCTGTAATTTCGTGTTATAATACCCATCCCTGTTTTCCCTCTGTAATCTTGTTTCATCCCTTCCCTCCACCACCACTTTTTAAGATGGGCCGTAATTTCGTGTTATTATCTCTCAATCAGATTCTGTGAAGAAATCAGAGATGGCTTATGCTGCTGTATTATCTCTCAGTCAGATTCTGGAGCAGATATCAAATCCTCATCTAGAACAACACCAGACTCCTCTTCAGGACCAACAAATTAAATCTCTCCAGGAGAAGTTGAGTTTCTTACTTGATTTTCTGGATGATTCTTGCCAGATAAGGAACGAGGAATTACGACGTTTGGAAAGGGAAATTCGAGATGCAGCGTACAAAGCTGTAGGTATCATCGAGTCACATATGTCAAAAATTATTGGTGAGGAAGGTTTCAAAGAAGGACAAGATGGAGACCAAACTTTTTGTGATAACTTGGAAGAAGTAACAGGTGAAATTGATTCTATTAAGACAAAGGCGGCTAAGCTTAAGGAACTGTGGGGCGCAACAGATCTGCACCAGAGCCAGATGACTTCTTTGCCAACCGTTTTGTCAACACTTGCTTCAAGCGGCGATAATGCTATGGTCGGGGTTGATAATGATTTGATTCAAATAAAGGATCGACTCACTGGAAATCAAGATACTCTCCAAGTCATCTCTATTATTGGCATGGGAGGCATTGGCAAGACCACAATTGCTAGATCTGTTTACAATGATCCACTTATTGAAGAACATTTTCACACTCGTGCCTGGACATCAATTTCTCATGAATATGATGAGCGAAAAGTCTTGCTGAGACTTCTGGATTCCATGGAACTACTCAGTGCTGAAATGCGTCATGAAACTAGTACTGAAAAATTAAGAGAGTATCTATATAAAAGTTTAAAAGGTCGGAGGTATCTTCTTGTGCTGGATGATGTTTGGGATCCCGAGGCTATGGATTCTTTGAGAAGGATATTTCCAGACGACAAGAATGGAAGCCGGATCATGTTGACAACACGCATGTCGAGTGTGGTTGACCCCCATCACTCTTCCCATCATATGCAATTTCTAAATGAGACGGACAGTTGGAATCTACTTTGTCAGACGGTGTTTGGGGACGATTCTTGCCCTCGTGAACTGGAGGAAACTGGAAAGAAGATTGCACAAAATTGCAAAGGACTTCCACTTTCCCTTGTCGTGATTGGCGGCCACCTTTCCAAAGCCAACAGGACAAAAGATCACTGGGAGTATGTTGCAGAAAATGTCAAGTCAGTTGCAACTGCAACAGATGCAAACTGCTCAGAAATACTATCTTTAAGTTACGATTACTTGCCTCATCATCTCAAAGCATGCTTACTTTATATGGGAATTTTTCCAGAAGATGATGAAATCCGTGTCTCCAAACTCATCAAGTTATGGGTTGCAGAGGGATTTATAGAACCAGTCAGACATAGAACCCTGGAAGAATTGGCAGAGGAATATTTGGAAGAGCTAGTTTCCAGAAATCTTATTTTGGTTCGTGAGAGGAGTTCTAGTGGAGAGATAAAAACCTGTGGCATCCATGATATGACAAGGGACCAGTGCTTAAGAAAAGCTGAGGAGGAGTTTTTTCGAGTCACAGATAAAGATTTCAACGTTTTTCACAATGAATTGTCGAACAGTGACAATTCAAATGTCAATCCATCCATGGAATCCTTTCCACCAGTCCATGCTACTTTGTGTTCTGATTTTGCTAGCGAGATTTATGAATCAGGTGATGGAGAACGTTTTCCACTGAACAGGGTGTTGGATCTTGCTGAAGGAAAAGTAGATGGTTTCCCAATTGGAGAAATAAAATTAGTTCACTTAAGGTACCTTGCTTTCTCCTGTGATGGGAAAATTTCCATACCTAAACCATTACCTGATTTTCTTTGGAATCTACAGACCTTAATTGTAGATTGCAAAGAAGTAAATCTTCCAGAGGAAATATGGAGGATGCCACAGTTAAGGCATCTCCTGTTCGGGATGTGTTACTTGCCATGCCCTACTAGATCACAAATAGATGGGGAGAATTTAGCTCTAGAAAACCTTTTAACATTGTCGAAAGTGAGTAGTTCCAGCAGTACCAAGGAGATCTTTGAAAGAGTTCCAAATCTAAAGAAGTTAGGAATTTTGATTGAAGATTTGAAAATGACTCCCTTTTCTCTAGGTAATTTGGTTAATCTTCCTCAACTCGAGACTTTGAAACTCATAAGCGAATATAGACATGTTAGAGTCCCTCCGAATTTCACTTTCCCACCAAATATTAAAAAGTTAACTTTAGAGGGTTGCAGAATTCCTTGGAAACATATGACTATTGTTGGTTCAATGCCCAATCTAGAAGTGCTCAAACTGCTACGTAACTCCTTTGTTGGGCCAGAATGGGAGCCAACGGAAGGAGAATTTCGCAAATTAAAATTTCTGCTACTTCGCGAAATAGATCTAGTGCATTGGAAGGCTGATGACACTCGCTTCACACGGCTTGAGCACCTAATTCTTAGGCAGTGCTTCGAACTAAAGGAGATCCCTTGTAGTATTGGAGATATACCAACGCTTCAAATCATTGACTTGGATGACGCTAGCCCTTCAGCTGTGACTTCGGCAAAGCAAATACAAGAAGAACAAAAGAACTGGGGAAATGATAGCCTTCAAGTTCATGTCCATTACATAATCGAAAACATCTACCGAGTGGTAAAAATTATTCCTCTAGCCACTCTTACTGCTGCTAATATCTGATCATATTTCTACCTTAAGAAAATTTAACGGTCGTTGTAATGAAATTTTAGCAAGCATCATCATTTTTTTTTCTTTCTTTAAATCACTCTAGATTGCATAATTATTTATTTTTTCTAGTAAGTAATTATGTGGGGAAATTTTAATTGAGTAGAACTAGTGTATAGAAATTGTTATATAAACTTCATTGTTAATTTCTCCAATTGGAACAGAGAAAGGAAGCGGAGGCTGAAATTATAGTTGGGTCAAATGCCGACACACTGCTACTTAAGGCTACAAAACAGTTCTACACACTTCTTTTACATGGTAATCAATTAATTTACTTTTATTGAAGCCAATTAATTTGATATTAATCTTATTTCTATTTACGCTATTTTCTCTTATATCTTTGATTCCATTTTCTTTCAATTTGTTTCCACAGACCCAATTAAGGAAGTAACACCTGGAGTTGTTCCTCGACTCTTTGAGTTTCTCGATAGAGATGATTACCCGCTACTTCAGGTTTAAATTTGTGATATTAATTGCTTCCTCTTGTTTATTTCATGTGTCTCAATTGCTAAATACATCGAGTAATTCATTTTCCAGTGTGAGGCAGCATTGGCTATAACAAGTATTTCAAAATGTTCATCTGATAACATCAACATGCTGATTGATTGTGGCGCGGTTCCCATTTTTGTGCGACTTCTAAGTTCTCCCGAGGATGTTCTTCGCGAACAGGTAGGTGTCCTGATTTTATTGCTAGTGTATGATATCAATTAAACAAGTAGTAAAGTAAACATAAGAGCATGGATTATCGTTCCAATGAGGACCACTTGATTAAATTAATGAAAAATTGTGTAAATAGATAGTTTATGGTTCTACTTGATGTATGAAATGTGTTAAAATTTGCGAGTTTACCATAGTTAACTAGTGAGAATAATACTATCTACCACTAGTAGTGCTGAGCACTAGCTTGTATGGCATTATTATATGATAGGTTCGATTAAAGGTGAAATTATGTAATTCATTTAATTGAACTTGTAATTTAATGACTCTAGTGTTGCCACCTAGACATGTATTAAACATTAGTGGTGCTAAATGACACTACTTAGATAATTATCCCCTTAATTGGAATTTCCAAATTTCGACAATAATTTGTTATGCTTACCCAATTGAATTATTCTAAATTAATTATTTTATGTCACTCCAGTTCAAACTAATTCTAATCAAACCAAGTCTGTTCACTATGTTTCTATGTGAATCAAGATAAGCCATAATCAAGAAAACTCAATCACCAAATTGTTCAATTAATTACATCAAAATTAGTAAAATTTTATCACTCGTTCTCCCCAAATTCCGAAATTTACTACATGATCTAAACAAATAACTCATCTCCCAATTTGTTATTGTTCACAAATTATTGAATTAATGATCAAATAATTCAAAGTCACAATGAAAAGAAATAAAAACAATGCACCAATATCAATTAAAATCAAAATGCAATAATCAAAATTAAGGTTCAACATTATATTGAGGCATATATCCCAAATATGGATTTAGTTACTCTTCATGGGAGAAGAAATACAAGAAAGAATTAGAGTGCATCACTGAGTTAGGAGGAAAAATGAAGATCTTGAACTATGAATCTCCTTTTCTTTCTTCTCTCTCTCTCTCTCTCTCTCTCTCTCTCTCTCTCTCTCTCTCTCTCTCTCGAGAGAGAGAGAGAGAGAGAGAGAGAGAGAGAGAGAGAGAGAGAGAGAGAGAGAGAGAGAGAGAGATTGGAAATTGGGTGTTTTATTTTTTTACTTTTCAACATTAAATTGCACTCCAAGTCTCTCAACTTTCCACTTTGTTAATCATGACCCCCCCCCTCGAAACTTTTCATGTAACCAATTTTGGTCATTTCACTTTTCAACATCTCTAAGTTAGAAATTCAATTTTCGTATTTTTGTACTTTGATCCTTATTTTGATATTTTCGTTCGATCTAATCCTTTCTGCTCCAAATTCTTCAATATGTGATCTTATAACTTCCAAAAGATTTCATAGTTTTCCCCAAACCTCATTATTTTTTGTAAGTTATGTGAATATTAGTCCTCAAACTTTCAATAAATTGAAATTCGATCCTAAAACTTGCGATTGTCCACTGATTGCTCTCTTAATACTCCTCAATCCCATACATCTCAGTTAGCCTTCAATTGCTCCGAATCAACTTCAAATTAGCTCAAAACCCTCGCTTTTGCTTCAAATGACTTCTAGTCCAACTTTGACCTATAATTATCATATTTACACTAAATTGGGTAGAAATTCACTCAAATGACAAATATTTATTGAGTTTAATAACACAAATAATCGTGTAAAAATACACTTCTCATATACCTCCAAGGTCAAACTCTTGTTCATCCCAAGCAAGACTATATACTGAACTCGCATCAAAGAACAATAAAAGTTTATTTGATAGCTTCTAGTAACCTTCTCAAACTTGAAATTGCTCAAATAATTCATAAAAGGATTGTAAGTCATGTTATCAAAACCACTTTTTACTTATCCGATACTCAATTGATGTGTATGTGCACGCGTAGTCAATCTAATAACTATAAGCCTTTAGTTGGTTATCTCTCGATCTCAATATTGAGTCTTTTTCTGTCTTGAGATGCATGTCCCAATTATTTGATCTTTCACCCCAAGTGCTTATTCTAAGGTTGCTTTCACAACACAATCATTTCATCTACACTCAAATTTAGTTTGATTTAAGCAATTTTCTCAATATGTGATAACTCTCCCTAGATTTGAGTCTCTTCAAGCTTCAACTAGGCAAATCAACATCACTAAAGATCATTACCTCTCAAGTTAAGTATCCAAGATTTACCCAGGAAGTGCAGCACCTTTCGATATAACCATTGCTGGCATCTTCACTAACAAAAAAAATAAAATTTGTTCCTATTTCTCTTCTTTTCATAATTCTCATTGTATATTGCTATTTCCCTTGGATATTGATAACATCAACACCAGGCGATTCTTCCTACCTGTTTTTTATTTCTCTATTATAGATAACACTGCTCAATCATCATTTTTTTTTTATTTTATCGATTCAGGCCACTACTCCCTTCTCTTTTATATCTTTCTTTCTAAACTAGTGCAATATCTTTTATTGGGACGAGAAGTTGGGGCCAGACACGTAGCTTATGGTTAATATGTAGGGTTCACATGCTCGCTAAAAATACTCCACATAGATATTCAATATGAACCGAATTAAAGTTGGGCTATTTTGGCATATCCCAATGATCTAAATAGTTCCTAACGCCAGTTCAACCACCCCAAACTATCCTTTCATATGACTGAGTGGTTATCTTTTCAATTTTGATCTTGATTTGTCACAAAATCATAAATCAATGAAATAGTTTTAAAATATTTCAAAGCATTGAAGTAAATTTGTGATATTGAAATTAACAATCCAAGTCTAAAATTCATTCAACCTTTTTTTTTATCAGTGTAACCAAATTAAAAAAAATGATGACCATCCGGACTATTGTTCTCAAGATATCACAATCTCATATAAATGAGTATAATAACAAAATAAACACAAATAACATCACCTCGTCACTGTTCATGAATCATGAATAGTTTTATATAAGTACCATAATTTGCTAGTAAGGCTATCCAACTTATATAAACACATATATTACAAGAATTTTTTATAATATTTTTCAAAATTTTCAATTTTTTATAGCATTTTTTTTAATTGGAAAAACAATTCACATAACACACTAACAAACACAATAAAAATAATGAAGTTACACCCCCCAAAATTAATGTGAACTAGGATTGCATGATAATTACGACTTCATTTAATGGCATTGCTTCGTTATGATTGATTCTTCATTCTCAAGAAGCTCTTATTTTTTAATTGTTTCCTCTGGTTGAATGGTCGGTCCATTATCCAAAGTTATGAGCAATTGCACAATGAAGTTTTCATAGAAAATCTCCCTTTCTAATTGCGGATTAGTGGAATTATAACTATTTTGATTTTTTAGGCCATGTTTGATAGGGCCAAATTCCATGGAAAATTCCATTTTCCATCTATTTTGTGGTGTTATAGCCAAATTTTACATGAAATTTGGTTTTCTTGCTTTTCTTGAAAATTGGAATTTTCTTGGTCTTCTTTGAGAACTAATTCCCACCATATGTTTTTCTAGGGCACTGTTTACTTTTCCATTTTCCATCCATTTTGTGGTATTATAGCAAAATTTTACATGAAATTTGGTTTTCTTGCTTTTCTTGAAAATTGGAATATTCTTGATCTTCATTGAGAACTAATTCCCACCATATGGTTTTCTAGGGCACTGTTCACTTTTTTTTTTTTTTTTTTTTAAAAATTTGGCAATGAAAACAAATTCTATCTCTAATTGTAAAAAAAATATTTTCTTTTAATTGATAATTTTCATGTAAAACAAAGTCAAACAAACATCAAAAGATAGATGATTTTTTTTTTTTATGTTTTTTTTTGACAATGGAAACAAATTTTATTCCCAATACCAATAAATTATATCCTTTTAATTGACAATTTTCATATAAAATAAGCCAAACGAACATCAAAAATATTTTTATTTCAATATTTTCAACGTAGAAAATTATATCAATCAAACACAATAATTGAAAATTCTCAGTAAAATAATTTCTAGACAATTCAATTTTCAGAAAATTATTTTTTTCAATCAAAATTTCATCTTTGTAATCAAACGAACCTAATAGAAATTTGTGTGCTGCTCGTGTTGTATGTTTATGAGTCTGCTGGCTTGGATCATCTAAACTTATCCATAGATTTCATAGGTTGTACTTATGTGGTCCACGTTCACACCCTATATTTGGAAGTCTTGCCCTGATGATCAATGGGAGAAAGAATCTCACTAAAAAGTCACCCTCATTAATTTTGGCTAGTGCTTAAACCATCGCATGACGAAAATATCTCTCACAAGAATGTCGTCGTCATCAACGTCGGAATCTCTCATCTCATATTGTTGCTGGTCTCTGCTTCTAAATAAACAAACTAAAATTCAAACAAAATTTAGATATAATTTAAATTACTATCAAACAAAAATAGCTTATGGCCACGACGTAAAAAACTTGTGATTTATTGTAATGTACATTGTCAATTAAACAAACAATAAAGTGAATCTACAAGTTTGAATCATCGTTTCCACAAGGATTATAATTTAATGATTGGTTTAATTATGCCCAACTTCTATAAGAGGAAAAATAATTAAATGAGATTTTGATTTTTATCATAATCTTATAAATCAATGGAAGTAATGAAAAAGTGCACAAATAGCTGATTTATGATAAACAGAGAATTGATTGATGTAAATTAATTCCTTTTTGGGTCTCACAACAATGCGGTCTTTTGTTCTTTTTTACATTTTTCACTTGACTTTTATTATTATCTTTACTTTTCAATATTAAAATGCACATTAAGTTTCTAAACTTTTAGCTTTGTTAAACTTGATCCCCCAACTTTTCATTTCATCAATTTTGGTTTTGTCACTATTCAACAAGTCCAAGTTAGCCCCTCAATTTTAGAAATGTTGTGGTTTGGTCTCTACTTCAACATTTTTGTCCATTTTTGTTTCTTTTTGCTCCAATTCTTCAATATTTGATATCACAACTTTCAAAAGCTTCCACATTGGTCCTAGAACCTAAAAAATCATCTAAAGTAGTCTTTCTCAAGTTCCAAAAATGTGCAAATTAGTTGAAAAGTCAAATTTTGCATCAAAACTTGGTTCTTTCCTCTGATTGCTTTCTTAATACTCTTTATCGATCCCCTGCATTCCGTTAGCCTTCAAAAGCTCTGAATCAATTCTATATTATCTCAAAACCTTCCTTTTTTTGCTACAAATGTTTCATAATATGGATTTTACCTACAATTATAATATTTACACTAAATTGGGTAGCATTTCGCTCAAACATGAATTATTTATCAAGTTTAAGTCGGAGGATAAGCATGTAAGATCACTCTTATCAATATAAAATCACTATTCATAACTCTATATTTTCCAAATAATGGTTGTCAAACGAGGGCTTATATTAATTGATTAAAACCTGACCTCCCCAACTTGAGTTGAAATAGCGATGGCCAACAGTCATGTGTCAAGATCAGGGATGAAAAATTGTGCCTTAAATTAGTGCAAAAAATGACATTGTTCAGTGGCTGCTTTTACGTTTTCTTCAGCTGAGTAAAGGCAACACCTTTTAATACTAAATGATGTAGCAGCACCATGCTCCCTATGTTAGGGAGATGTTCGTCCAATTTCTTACAAATTGATGAAGACTAACACGAGCTTTGATTTTTATTTCGTGCCTACTTTTGACTGTATGGCCAACTATTTAATGTAGGCACTTGAGGTGTTAGGATATTTTGCCCGTGACTCAACAAAATCTCGTGATCTTGTCCTTACTTATGGAATATTAATGCCCTTATTGGCACAATTTAATGATAAAACAAAACTATCCATCATGAGAAAGGCAACGTGGACATTGTCAAACCTTTGTCAGGGAAAGCCACTGCCTCAGTTCGACCAGGTTTGTCTTCTAATTGCTTTGCTGTTCGATTTTGATGCATATCAATACTGCTGGACCTTTATATATTTAACCAATTCCTTCTGGAAATTATTGAGCAGGTGAAATCTGCCCTCCTTCCTCTTGCTCATCTGATTCATACAGATGATAAAAAAGTCCTTAAATATGCATGCTTGGCATTACTCAATCTAACTGATGGAACAAAGGATATAATTCAAGCTGTGATAAATGCTGGTGTTTTTCCTCGCTTGGTTGAACTTTTACTGTTAGTGAAAAAATCCTACTTGATATAGTTCCTTGTTTCTCGATTTCTAACTTTGCTTTTGTTTATTGAACTTCGTAGCTATGCTTATTTGGTTTCGTGGTTCGCAGATATCCTTCGCCATTAGTTTCTATTCCTGCCATGTGCACTGTTGGTAATATTGTTTCATATGGAGATGATATCGATATTCAGGTATCAGCTGGCTCTTCTTCTTAACCTTAATTAGCACACTTCCTTTTAAGCACATGAATTCGTTGTTATGTGGTATGTTAGGCCATTTTGTCTTCTATCAGTTTCAATGGTCTACACACTTGCCTTTCATTGTGTATTATATTTACCTTAAGCAGAGAGGGGTGTGCTTGACATTGATGTCAAAAATGCATCGCTTGATACTTCATGGTTATATTCATTTTGCAAATAGATTTGTTGCTTCTATTGCTAAATCGCAATTTCGAGGGATCCCTTTGTCTAAGAAAATTCTTTAGTGGATATATAAAGAGACAAGCAATTCTTTGATGACCAATTTTTTTTGCTCAGTATCATCCTGAGAAATCAACCCTTATACTTGACCACTTTCCAAGGAGAACTCTAATAAGAATTTCAATGCTAACTCCGTAATTAAGGATGTCAAGCAGTGTTATCTTTTTCAAAATTCAAAATTGCTTCTGTTGAATGATTTCCAGATTAGCATTGATAATGGTGCTCTTCCTAAACTGCTTAACTTGTTGACAAAAATTTACAGGAAGAGTGTCAAAGAGACCACTTGTTGGATCATTTCAAGAATCATTCAACGGACTAAGGATCATATTCAGCTATGCAAATCACTATGGAATTGTTTTTGCCTTTGTGGTATTTCTCCATGAATTCATAATTAATTTCCTTGAGATAAATAAGCATTTTTATCCCTCAATTGGAGATGGGGGAGGAATGATTTTAGAGTAAAGATATTTTTAGTTTCGACCTGTCAATTATTGTTTTGAACATCAAGATTGAAGTTTTTTCTCTTGCCGTCTTCTGAACTTTTGTCTCGTAGTAGTACTTCTCTTTTGATAAATTTGATATTTGTACGTCTGTTTTTGTTAGTAAATTGAAGTCCTTGGTTTCTCTCTTAAAATGACGGATGCTGAGGATATGTTACCTTAATACACACACTACAACATATAAACTCATCCATTGCTTGCAAAGAATGCTTTGTATCATGTTCAATAGCATTTTTCGGAATGCTATTGTAAATGGTGTTATTAAAAGTCTTATATCTATTATAACATTTTTTGAATGCTATTATAAAATGCTATAGAAAAAACTTTTACATAACATTCTATTATCGTCGTAGTTTTAGTATTTATAACATTCTTGTCATGCAGTCTTTTTTAATTTAATAGCATTCTATTTCGTTATAATTTTGACTTTAATGACATTATTTAATCATCATGATTACATCTTCAATATCATTCTTTTTCATCATAACATTTTAATATTTATAGCATTTATTGAATATAATGTATCATTTTCAGTAGCATTTTTTATTTGATTGTGTACATATTAAATAAAATTCCTAATTTGTTAATTGTCAAATGAAAATATTCAATAGCATTACTTTTTGGACTAAAAATATGAACAACAATAACGAGACTAATAATAAATTTTAAAACATGCATCAATATTATCTTGTAGAAATACAAAAGCGCGGCTGTCAATAGAGAAATCAACTTATGTTCAATATAGAAATCTACTTCAGCGAGAGCTCCTTTGGTAAAAGGTGCAAGGTGTTAATATCCCCCAATTGTTACCTTCCTTGATGGTTTCCAATCATATGAGCTCCCAATGAAATACTGATTTTTTATGTATATAAAATCCGTGGCCCTTCGAATTGCTTTAGGCATCTTGAACGATCTATGATGCTCTTCCCACTAACAAGGCCTATTTTGCTGTTTCCTCAGGTTTAATTGGAACGTCAGACGCAGCGGCACCATCAATTGAACAGAATATTTGAACAATCCATGTTTCAAGCTTTTCTAATGAGTTAGCAGGTGTCAGGCAAACAATAAACCTATTGAGATCATTAATGTAATAGAGATACTGACTCCCTACTTGTTTCCTCTATCTCTGTTCGAAGTTGTCAAGACATTCCAAGCTATAGGCCTTCAAACGAGAATGAATGTCGTGGCTGGATTCCTAGGACCACCATTTGCAATGGAGAAGCCAGAAAATCATTCATCAACTCATCACAGATTTCCAGAGAACTTGAATGAACAAATCTTTTTGTGTGCGCAGGATCCCATTGTCCCAAACGACCACTTCTAAACCTTAGAAATGAGTATGGTTTTATGTTCAAAGAAGTTATCATGCAATGCTTTCTACCAAAGAACAGAATAGGGAATGTCTGGTAAAATTCCCTGACATCAATCTGTTTGAATTTTGTCTCTAAATTACATATGAAACTGTGAGCTTACAGCAAAAATATTACAGAGATCACGGCTAGATAATATTGAATCCAATTTCCCCAAAATAGGGAGAGCATGAGAACGAGAATACCAAACACATTTACTGGCATACATGAACCATAAATGAATGAACAAGGCTATGGAGTTCGGAACATTTGGGAAAAAGTACTGGATATTCAAATGAAACAACAATACCTTGTTCTCTAGCTTTACTCAACCACTTTAGTATACTCTCTAATGTCGTGTATGCAGTCAAATCGATCAAGCTCTTGCTCTCAATTGCATAATCAAACACTCCATAAGCATTAGCCAATGAATTTTTGTTTAAGTTCTGTTGGGCGCGGAAGCTCCAATAACACACGTTGATTCCAAACTGGATTGTAGAGAACGAAATTATAAGGACAATATTGAAGTAAACAAGATCACACCACCAAACAAGGTTTAAATTGTAAAGAGGAACAAAAGGATTAAAGCAAAGGAACGGTGTTCATTTAATCAATAATATGGAGAATACAAAGCAATCTAACAATTAGCTTCTATCTGTTACATCTAATAAAACTGACAAAGAAGCCTTGTATTTATAGGCCAACCTAAAAGAGTCCTTAAAGAAGAAAATATATTATAATTATGAGACCCAATTTCAACATGATTTTATTTCCTTTTGTTGAATGCTATTAGATTTCCTTTCCAAGTAAAAGTCTAACACGCATCTTCAAAAGACTCATAACCAATTTCTAGGATTCCACTTGATCAAATTCTAAATCAACAATAATCCTAACACATTTGAGTCACCAAACCTAACGAGTTCGATATCATACTCTCTGGTTCTGGTTAACGATTTTCATTAAGTTTGCAACCAGTTAAACTGAAGAAAAGAAGCGGCCAAAGTACCTGTGAACTATATCTTGAACTCGAAGTTACTATTTTTCTCTCATCAAGGAATCTTAAGAAATTCCCAAAGATGACAAAACCAAATAGAACCAATTTATTTCAATATTTTCTTATGCAATTAACTTAAAGATTGTGATACAGAATTTAACATTTAAGCAGTCTATAATAATATCAATTTCCAAACTTATATAAGGTGACCACCATATGCGGACAAACTGCTTAATACGTGTGACTTGTTCTCTTCATTTTTGTACCGTGAATGAAAACACAGAAAAGTGCTGAGGGGTAACAGAAATTGCATACCATCATAGATACAAAACTCAAATTACATAATATAAGATTCTTCGGATGAGCTACTTGATCATCCTTGATATGAACAAAACAAAAAAGCATAATACCAATAGAAGGCATAATCTGCTACATAATTGAATGAGGGATCACAATGGGGGTGGGGACCACAAGCCGACATTTTTTAAATTCACATGGGATCTGCTAATTTTGTGAGAGTGAGTACACCATTTTGTGAACAAGATTTTGTACAAATATCTTTATTCGTGGAAGGAGCTTCAAGTTCTGTGCATGTTGTTAGAGATTAAGTAAAGGACATGATGATGACTTAAATAAACTTGTTACATGCAAATAATCAACCAAGGGTGTCAAATGATTTGTAGCATTCATACATATGAACGCTTATTTCTACTTATATTTACATCAAGTTCTACACACTCAAAAAGATGGAAAAGTTTTCTTTTTCTTTTTTTTTTTCCAGAAGTTTGACTTACCATATTCCTTTTTCATCTGCTATGAAAATCATTGAGTTGCGATCAAATCCCCCACCAATAACCATTCTCTCATATATTAACAAAACCTAAATTGCACACTCGTGCAATACATTAAGAATAAAAATAATAAAAAATAAGATCACATAAAATTGAGTTAAATGTTTGAGATTGGATGCTAACCCACGTCACGAAGAGGCAAATCTAGAAATGTACGCTACGCAATTTTTAAGTGAAAACTCCTAGAAAGTTGGAAAAAAATTAAGGTTGGACTCTATGCTACACACAAATGTAATAACTTATAAAGAAATTGTAAGGGAGAAGAAGAATCAACCACCAAGGCGATATACATGCTCAGTTCACCAAGAAATCGAATCAATACCAAAGCAAATGACCCAAGAACACCACAAAGGTTTTACCTATGATTGCTAAGCTTTTTGCCACTTCAAAAACACCACAAAGGATGGAAATATTACCAAGATATATGCCTTAAAGAGAATGGCAGAAGATTGAAATGGTGAAGGCCGAGAGAGATCACGAAGGGAGGAGAAAGAGACACCAAGTCCTATTTCTTGCATAGTGGCGTGAAGAGGAACGAGAATATATTGGACCAAGTTACAAAATATGGTAAGTTAGGTCTTAGGTAATGGGTCAAGGTCCAATTCCATATAAGTGGACAATAGTGTGGGCCTCAAAAAATAGCTAGCCATCCAAATAGGTGAAAACATAGCCCATAAGCAACACAACTTAATTGGTTGCTTCAAATGGACCAATCTCTTTTTGGGTCGGGTCGTTACAATTTGGTATTGATTTATTTCTCAATCATATCGCAATCATCGACTGATAATTAATAAACGACATACATCATTGCCCGAGAGGTCATTTGACAACAATATGTCCAACAACCTCTACCTTGGTGTCAAAAGACCTGCAAAAAAGAATGTTTCTCATTAGTGACAACTCTAACAAAAAACCAATAAAATTGAAAATCATTTACTTGTACCAATATTTAGAAGTTCCTTGCAACTTCTAAACTTTGCCAGTGGCAGTACCTTCGTGCCCATATTGGAAGGGTTGTAGTGTGTGTGGACCTTTTCAAGTCTTACCACCTCTCGAGATATTATATTCCTAATGAAGTGGAGTCTAACATCAATGTGTTTAGTGCGCTCGTGAAAAATGAGATTCTTGCATAAATGTATAGATGATTGACTATCAGAATACACTACCACATAATCATTCAAGACACATAGTTCATGGAGTAGGCCTCTAAGCCATAGAGCTTCTTTAATAGCTACAGTGGTGGCAATATATTCTGATTCTGTAGTGCATAGTGTAACAATGTGTTGTAATTGTGATTTTCAATTAACACATGAATTAAATAAGGTAAACACGTAAGACGAAGTCGATTTCCTACCATCCCTATCTCCAGCATAATCAGCATTTACAAAATCGTTTAATTTTACACATTCTTTAGTAGCACTAAACTGTAAACCTATGTCACTTGTACCCTTCAAATACCTTAATAGCCACTTTAACGCTTCCTAATGTTCAGGGCCCAGATTAGCTAAGTACTAACATCAAAACCTAAATCCGATCTAGTGCAAACCATCAAATACATTATGGAACCAATCACATTAGAGTAAGACACTCTACTCATATATTCTACTTCACGTTCATTGCAAGGAGATTGTCCTTTCGATAAAGGAAAATGATTAGTAAGAGGCAATGTGACAGGTTTGTAATCACTTCTATTAAATTTCTTCAATACTTTAGATATGTATGGAGACTAATGCAAAAACAAAATAGAATTTGACCTATCTCTTTCTATTTCCATGCCTAGGATTCTCTTAGCCTTACCTAGGTCTTTCATGTCAAATTTATCACTTAGTTTTGCTTTTATATTATTTATCCACTTAGAGGAAGAAACAATCAAGAGCATATCGTCCACATAGAGCAACAAAAACAGATAATTATCGTCAGTCTCATTGTGTTGAAAATACAAACAATGATCAAATTTACTTCTTTGAAATCATATAATGAGTACAAAGGAATCAAACCTCTTGTACCACTGTCTAGGAGATTGTTTTAACCCATACAAGGATCTTCTAAGAAAATATACATAATCAGGTTTTGACTTATCCTTAAAACCTTTTGGTTGATTCATGAAGATTTGTTCGTCAAGTTCACCATGTAAAAAGGCAGTTTTTACATCAAGTTGTTCAAGTTCCCAGTCAAAATGCGCAACCAAGGCAAGCATAACCTTAATAGTGGTGTACTTAACAACTGGTGAAAAAATCTCATTCTAATCAACGCCCTCCTTCTGTATGTAACCTTTAGCCACTAACCTAGCTTTTAACCTTAAAGGTTCCGAGCTACTAGTATCTTCCTTAACCTTAAAGATCCATTTACAATCGACAATCGATTTGTTCTTAGGCATAGGTACTAGCTCCCAAGTATGATTCTTTTCTAGAGAACTCATCTCTTCTTTCATTGCTTTAAGCCACTCCTTAGATTGCTCACTACCTATCGTCTCTTCCAAGGTTTTTAACTCTTTATTAGCTAGTTCTTCATAACTAGCATGGGCAAAAGCTAATTCAGATTCAAAATCGATCCTTCTAGGTTCTCTCGTCTGTCTCCTCTCTCTATTCCTAGCTAGATTATAATTAGTTAAGGAATTTTCTTCCTCAGGGTGTTCGTCTATGACTACTTTGTTACTATTCTCGACTTCAGGTTCCTGAACCTGAATCTCCACCTCATTAGGAGTAGTAGGGGTAGATTTACTAAGTTTTCCTAACTCCACCTTAAATCAATCTCTCTCCTCACCTGGTTTGGTTTTACTCACAGGTTCGATTTTTCCTTTAATACACGGCATTTAATTCTCGTTAAATGTGACATCTATACTTACGATGATCTTAACCCCCTTTTGACTTCTATCTCATAATCTGTATCCCTTAACACCCTCAGGATACTCTTGAAAGATGCACTTTCTAGCTCTAGGTTCCAACTTTCCTTCGCTTTGATGAGAAAAAGCGGCACAGCCAAAAGTTCTAAATATAGAATAATCACTCAGTTTACCCGACCATCTCTCGTGCGGAGTATTACCATTCAATGCAGCAGATGAAGTCAAATTAATCAAATAACAAGCAATCATAACAGTTTCACCCCAAAAAGATTTGGGGACACCAGAACTTAACATCATGCAACGTACTTTATCAAGTATGGTTCTATTCATCCTTTCAGCTATCCCATTTTGCTGAGGAGTGTAAGGAAAAGTCTTATGTCTAGTTATACC